TATTCTAGAAAGTTCAGGAGTATCCTCACTTCTGCTCACTAGGAGCCGGTAGCCTTCTCACCAGTGGTGCCAATCAAAAGTGCCCAGATACTGCCAAAATCTCCTGAAGGATCCTGGTTGGCAACAGCTGTTCTAAGTCTAGATAACCAGGACAGAGCATGTGTAGAGGCGTGGGACCTGTGTGGTGTGACACTCTGAGATGCCTGCTTCTTGAAAATGACCTAGAGCCGGAGGAGAGTTGTGGGTTTCCCCCGGGAGGAAGTTCCCACCAAGAGTTCAGAGGTCTGGGTAGTCCTAACGTCTACACTGTTCTCAGAATGAAGTTCAAATAACCCATTCACACCCCACCCCCATTCCGCCCCCAGCTTCCTTGCCATGTGAAACTTTGCAAGCATGCGTTTGTTTATCTTATTGGTCCATCCTGGCTTTCTACAGGACGGGAAACTTGTAAGGACTCTTTCAAGGTTCCCATTCATCCTTTAGAGCAGTGAATCTCAACTTCCCTAACTCTGTGACCTTTAATACAGTTGTTCATGTTGTAGTGATCCCCAGCCATAAAATTATTTCATCGCTACTCCATAACTGTAATTTTGCTATTGTTATGGATCGCAATGTAAATATCTGATATGCAGTTTGGGAATCTATAGAAGGATAGTTTGAAACCCCAAAGTGGTCTTGACCCTGTGGTTGAGAACCTCTGCTTTCCAGCCTATTGATGATTTCTATGAGAAACTTTACGAGGATGGAGAGTAGTTTGACCCATTGTCTTCGTTGTTATCTAGCCTGCAGTTTGCTGAACGTCTACACCTTGGTAGACTCCCAAACATACAGTGTTTCTATTCTGATGTTTCAGTTGAAATTTTGCTTTGTAGAATCTTCAAGGTGGCATTTAAAAAATTCTGTATCAATCTAGTCTTGTATGACTAAGCATGTTTGAAGGGGAGGGCTCTGTTAACCTCACAGAAAGATTTGTTTCAAGTGTGTGCTTATCTGTGTCTAAAAATGGTATGTCCTTTTTGTTTGTTTTTTTGTTTCCTTTTTTTTCTTCCTTTGTTAATTTGAGACAGGGTTTCTCTGTGTAGCCCTGGCAATCCTGGAACTCACTGTGTAGACCAGGCTGGCCTCAATTTCAGAGGTCCATCTGCCTCTGTTTCTGAAGTGCTGGGATTAAAGGCATGCGCCATCATGCCTGGCTAAAAATAGTATTTTCCAATTAATTATAAGTTTTAAAAATGAAATGTCATTTCCCCCTCTTTTGTTTGTTGCATCTGTTTAAATGATAGGAGAAAGAGAGTTCCAGATTATTTTCTTCCTTAGCCTTAATTATCAGACACGTATACGGTGCTTAATACATTATACATATTGTTTTAACTCATTTTCAAATATCTACCATTTAATCTTCATATCATTCTGAGAGACAGGTATTACTAATATTTTCCTTTTATGGATGAGGAAATGGAGCATAAGATCAAAACAACCATCCATATTGGAGTGTGGACAGAGAGGACAAGGATACAGCACATTCCATACAGGACTGGTGGGGGTGTTCTTCTGTGTATATATTTCTCTTATTGGTTGATGAATAAAGCACTGTTTGATCAATAGAGGCAGGAAGATAGGCGAGGCTAGGAAATGAGAATTCCAGGAAAGGTAGGCAGAGAGGGACTTCGAGGGAACTCTATGAAGACCACAAAGGAGTAACAGGTCTGGGCATTCTCTGGTAAGCCAAGACCACATGGAAATACATAGATTAATAGAAGTGGGTTAATAATTAAGACAGAGCTAGCCAATAAGCCCTAGTCATTGGCCAACAGTTTTATAATTAATATTGTGTGTTTATTTGGGGCTAAAGCGGCAACGGGACCTGGCTGGAAAGAAAACTCCAGCAACACAGGACCCACGAGAAAATACTAAAATTAAAGAAGAAATACCCTGTTCATGAAATATAACTTCTATTTCTTTTGAAATAGGGCCACGTATAAACCAGACTGACCCCCGCTATATAGTTGAGGCTGGCCTTGGACCCCTCATCCTCCTGTCTCTACCCCTTAAGTTCTGAGATTAAAGGAATGTACCACCACTGCCAGCTTATTTTTATTTTATTTTAACAAATCTAAATAGCCACACATAGTTAGTGGCTACTATGTTAGAAAGCACAGCTTAAATATCTGAGATGAGACAAAGAGTCCAAGAAAGAAGCTCATGATACAAAAAGTAAGCAATCAACAAGGGTGACTGGAAAAATGTTATTATAGATATGATTTTGAAATGTCATATAAATGCACACATGTCAAGTTCTTGAAACATAATGTACATAATAAAACATTGATTATTTTCTTGGCTAGAAATCTTCACATTGACAGAAAGAACCAAAAGACACCAGCTCATTAATATTTGTTAACTTGAGGGACAGGATTACATTCTTTTTTAAATCATAAGGGTAAAGCAGACTACGGACAAAATGCTAAAATGTGTAACTTCTAAGCCCGTTGAAGGCAGGGGAGCAGTATTTAATAATTGTCTTAGGCCGTTTGGGCTGCTCTAACAAAACAGTTTATAAGCCACAAATATTCATTTATGCTATAAACAGTTTGTAAGCAGCAAATATTTATTTTTCATAGTTTTCCAGACTAGGGAGTTAAGACCAAAACACTTTCAGATTTGATGTCTGGTGAGGACCTGCTTGACTTTTTAGAGATGACACTTTCTGTGCCCTTGCGTGGTAAAAGGGGCAAGTAGTGACCCTAGGGCCTCTTTTTATTAGAGCTCTGACTTCCATCAGGACAGTCAATAACCTTCCAAAAGTCCCACCTTTTAATACTACCACATTGGTGGCTGTGTTTCAGCATGTGGATTTGGGGGAGACACAGGCATTCAAACAGTAGTGGTGTCCTAAGCAAATGCTCACAGACAACAGCAAGTAAAAAACTAGAAGTAGAAATACAGTAGACAAAACTGTCCACACAGTGTGCCCTGACTAATAAAATATCTATGGGCAATAAGGAAGAAAAGGTGTGGAGATGTATTGATAAAAGGAAGAGCCTGGGAAGGGTCAGGTATTAATGGCAGAAATCAGCAGAGGGTTGTTGAAGTAAAACAGGGATTAACTCAATGTAACCAGAGAAGCTGGGCATTTCTGTGGTCTTGCCTGGCTAGGACAGTCATTTATGCTTAAATGGTATATGCAGATAATTTGGGGGTTCTTCTTAGAGCAAAAGAAACCTGGAGTACTAGCCAGTAAGTCCATGGAATTAATTCAATTAATTAGTTAAAATTAACATTTTTGACCTATCTTAATCCTTTTTACCCACAGACCAAAACAAACACCTCAACTGTTTTCTTGGGTGCAATGCCAGTTACAGGCAGAAATGTATCCATTATTCTTCTCAGAAATGCGAGTTCTGCTTTAGCGGTTCAAATTCTTTCACACAATATCCCCTCTAGGAACACTTTTATTGGTATTTGGTTGGTGGAATTGTTTTCAGCAGCACTGGGTCATTCATCTTGCCTCCAAATAAAAGGTTGATTGAAGCAAACTTTTGAGTTTTAGAAACATATATCAACAAAGAACATTTGCAACTGTTAGCGGCACTGACTGAAGTATTTTCCCCCCAGAGTGTCAGGAGTGTTTTTGAGAAAACAGGAAGAAGCCACATTTATCTTTCAGTCGTTAGGAAAAAAAAAATGTGACCCTTAAGATGTTATTCTTCTCCAAATAAACAAAATAGTGACTTTGTAAAGGGACAAGGTCAGAGAATTTGGGGAAAATATCAGACACTCTTACTAGCCTTGAACCAGGAGGTCTGGGCCCCTCCTGGCAGGCAGCCTTAGCGCATTAGTGGGTATTTGCTGGGACATGATGACCGTATTGTGCCTCCAGTGTGGTACATGCCTTCTACTCCCTTGTCCCAGTCCTTTATTTATTTATTTTTTTCTTTCCTGTTCTGACTTCCTTGCACAGATGTCTGAAACCTGAGGGCGTTTTCCTTTTAGGGCAGGTGTGAATTTTAATGTCTTTGCCAAAGCTGTGTTTACCTTTTAAATATGAGATTTAAAGCAATCGTGTGTTACTGTAGTGCACCATACTATGTGTTTATGAGTGTGCCTTCTAGATGAACATTGCCGCCTTTCTTTCCCCTCCTGACCTTGTTTAGCTCTTCAAGTTTAAATCTCTTCATTCTCTGTAACTCACCTCTGTCCCTGACCTCCAGAGACATTTGTGAATGTCACTCCTACGCTCCGCACTTCCCTTTTTGGTAGCTCCTGTCATAATTCTAGTTGTGCATTTGACTGTCTGTCCTTTGCTCGTGTGTGTCCTGCTCGTTTTCCCGGTGCCCATTGAATACGTGATGAAGAATAGAGGCATTTGTGTGTGTCATTGTTTATGGCAGGTGGCTGGCATCTTTTCCTATGAGGACTTGAGTGTCACATGGTATTGCTCACTCTCTAGCTGAAGGCAACTGTTGGGCAGACCCCATGAGTGCCTCATCCTCCTTATTGACACTGGATATTGCAGTTGCAGAGACCCCAAGGCATCTCGATCTGGCAGCTTTTTAAAGAAATTGAGTGCCAAATGTCAAATCCAGGAGCTTGCATATACACCAGGCAAGCTCCAGTCCCCACAAAGAGCTCTTGTTAGCAAATCTGTTATCTACTTAATGGGAAAACCTACTAGCAGAATGGTGACTAGAGAGAGGTGGGGCATTGCAGGACAGCTTGAGATCTCTTTCCTATCTGGCATCTTCGAGACGGCTTGCCCAGGCCCCTTGGGTTCTCACCGTGAGAAGCTCCACCTTCTCAATCAAAGAGTGAAGTAGTTTCTCTAATTTCTTTCCTTAGTGTTTTCATATCAGGATTTTGCTGGAGGCTGAACGCAATATCAAAAACACAAGCCTGCATGTAGCCCTTCCTTCTGACTTCTTGTTTTCTTGGCTCTATATTTCACCTAGAAAGCTTGTGGGTGTATCTGTAGAGTGCATTCTAAATAAACAATGAGATCAATGGCAGAGGTCATCATTGTGTCTTTTTACTTCTCCAAGAAGATGCTGATTGCAGGTAAAGAAACAAACACTTCACTCCTGAAGTATCTAAGGAAAGGCTTTCTCATAATTAATCGGAAGGAAAACTAAAACAGGACAAGTTTTAAGAAAAGAATCAACTCATCCTTAGCAGCCTCGACAGGGCCGTAATTATAACCCATTGGTACATTTCCGCATATGGAGTAGGCAGGTATTTTACTTACAAGAACTTAGTAAGGACCAATATCAACTTTACCTCAGTAAAACTGGGTGGAGGAAGAATTTAGTAGGTAAATTCAATGATTTCGTGTGTGCGTGTGTGTGTGTGTGTGTGTGTGTGTGTGTGTGTGTGTGTGTGTATGTGTGTGTGTGTGTGTGTGTGTGTGCACAAGTTCATATCCATGTGTGTTCTACAAGAAGAAAGTGAACAGTTTGACTTACCACATCACATAAGATTTCTTTATCATCACCATCATCATCATCATATACTACAGGAGACTGAACCCAGGCCTGAGCAAGGTAGGTAATACCCTATCACTGAGTAATATCTCCAGTGCCTTTTGTATTTTTATTTTGAGAAAGTGCATCACTGAATTGCTAAGGCTGGCCTTCCACTTTCCATCCTCCTGCCCCAGCTTCCTGAGTAGCTAGGATCATGGGCTTGTGCCATAGGACCCAAACATAGCATCATCTTTGCTGCCCACTTCCTGTACCTGCCCATTGGAACCCTACCCTGTTAAGGACTATGTGAAAGCCAGTCAGGTCCTCTACCACTGAATGAATCCAGGGTGGGGAATGGAAAGTAAAGGGTCTCTAAACCGTGAGTATCTCAGGGTTTACACTGATTTTTATTGTACTATTTTTTTCTATTCTGAAACATACAACTTAGAAATAGACACACATCTAGAAATACAAATAAGATGGTAAGAATAGCTGCCGTTCCACCACCTGGTAGTGACCTCTGCTGAAGTTCTGATGCTCATCACAGTGCCCAACCGGAGTGTGGCAGTGACTCTAAAATGAATGCACCGAGCCCTATATTTTAACTTTCTAGTTAGTTTGTGTGTGTGTGTGTGTGTGTGTGTGTGTGTGTGTGTGTGTGTGTGTGTGTGTAACTTTCAGGACTTGATTTTCTCCTTCCACCATAAGGGACACAGGAATTGCACTCCTGTGTTCAGTCTTGGAAGCTAGCGTTTTTTACCCATCTTGCTAAATAATCAGATTTAGCGCATTCAGATTACATGGTTTACAGCTTTTACTAATTGAATTTTTGTGGAAAGTTTAGGTTTACATGAATATTAAACAGGTGATGCCAAGTTCCCTTAACCCTTCTCTTTCCTCCACTTTCTCTTAATTAGAACATTTTACGTCTGTGTGGTGTTGCATTAGTCAGGGTCCTCTGGAGGAACTGAACTGATAGAATGGATCTATTTACATGAAACGGAATTAATTTACTAGAATGGTTTACACGCTGTGGTCTGGTTGGTCCAACAGTGCACTTTGCCAACAGAAGGGCCAAGAATCCAGTAGTTTTTCAGTCCATGAAACTAGACATCTCAGCTGGTCTCTGGTCTGTGTTGAAATACTGAAGACGGGGGTTCTAATAACAGCAAAGGAACCTCTCAGCTGCCACATAGCTGAACTTGATGGTGGGAGAGAGGGCAAGCAGGCAAAATGAAAAGCTTCCTCCTTCCGTGGCCTCTTATGTGGGCGGCTACCGGCACGTGTGGCCCAGATTTAGGGTGGGTCTTCTGACCTCAAATGAGCCTGATTTAGGGTGGGTCTTCTGACCTCAAATGATGAGATGAAGACAATCCCTCACAGGCATGCCCGACTGCTTGGGTTTTAGTTGATTCCAGATGTAGTCAAGCTGACAGCCAAGATTAGCCATGACAGGTGCTTTGGTTATGTCTAACGTACCAGCATCATCACATACCTAAAACCCACAGTTCATTCAGTTTTCCTGATTTTACTTAATGCCCTTTTTCCATCTCAGGATCCTATCCAGGATACAGTCAGGTCTTCTTGGGTGCCTCACAGCTGTGACTGTCTCCCACACTCCCTTTGTTTTTAATGAGTGTAACCTTTTGAGGAGTGCTGGTCAGGTAAATGTCAGAATGACCCTGTATTAGAATGTGTCTAGCATTCTTCTCAGGTTTAGACTGGGTTACAGGCTTAAGGGAGGAAGATCACAAAAGTATCATTTTCACCACATTGCATCAAGGGTCCACACTGTCGGTGTGATTTATGATGGTTGATGTTGAACCATGAACACCTGGCTGGTGTCAAGTTTCTCCTCTGTGGAGTTGCTCTATTTCCCCTTTCCTTTCTGCAGTCTTTTGGAAGAAAGTGGCTGTGTACAGCCCATACCCAAGGATTGGGAGGTATGTTTCCTTTATCTTGGAGTAAAATATCTACATAAATTATTTTGAATTCTACACTATAGATCTGTCTTTTACTTCCCATTTGTTAATTTACTTAATTACTTATATTACTTATGAACTTAAGAGTATTTATTTATAATTTGGGTTATAATTCAAGATTATTTTGTTGTTGTTCAGATGTTTTTTTTTTTTTTGTCAAGGTCTTACCTTGTATCCTTGTCTGACTTGAGTTCTATCTCTAGTATAAGTGTGAGCATGCACTACACACACAAACACATAGACAGACACACCCACAGAGACACACACACACACACACACACACACACACACACAGATGTGGACCCAGACACACACACAAACACACACGGACACACACACAGACTTGCACAGGCAGACACAGACCCCCTCCCACCCCCCCCCCCGCCACACACACAGCACCATGGATGGTCATTTTACTGACTCCTCATTTCCGAGTCTACTTATGTCAACACCTTTCCTTCCAGTGAAGCTATTCCATCCATCTGTAGGATGGTTATGTCATGACAGTCTACATTTGAGATCTTCCAACCTAATTGAGAAATGCCTCTATAAAATCCAGCTGTGGGTCATTTTCTTTCTTCTGTTTTTGTTGTTTGTTTTTGTTTTTGTTTTTTCGAGACAGGGTTTCCCTGTAGCATTGGAGCCTGTCCTGGAACTTGCTTTGTAGACCAGGCTGGCCTCGAACTAACAGAGATCCATCTGCCTCTGCCTCCCTAGTGCTGGGATTAAAGGCATGCACCACAACCGCCCGGCTACAGACAGGTGATTAATCAGCTTTGGGATCACACGTATTGTGTTACAAGCGTTGCTGTACCCAGGTTTTACTTGGGTAGCAGAATTTGAAATCAGGTCCTTGTGTTTGAACAGAAAGCATTTTACCTACCTAGCCATCACTCCAGTCTCTCTTTTAAATTTTTAATCAAGACTTAATAGAGCTAGAGATATGGGAACAACAGAACACTTGCCTAGAACACACAAGTTCCCAGGTTCATCAGCACTGACAAGAGGGAGAGAGCAATGGGACATATTGTTCTATAAAAAGGTCAGTTGGCTTCAAGTACTTGGAAGCTCAGTTACTGGGTTCATATTCTTTTGTAATTGTTATGTCTCCCAGTGATGTGGCCCTTTTGTCATTTTGAAATAACCTTCTTTATCTCTGGTATTTTCCCCTGCCTTGAAGAATACTTTGCCTGACATCACTGCGGCAGTTCTGACTTCCCTAGTCTTTCTGTCTGTCTTGCTGATTGTTTCCCATTCTTTTACTTCCAGCCTTCCTGTGTTTTAATATTAAAGTGTATTTCTTGTAGACAACATATAATTCAGTCTACAGGTTTTAGTATAATATCTTTATTCATTCCTTGAGAATCTCATGCATTCATGCAATGTATTTTGATCATATTCACTGCCTTCCTCCCCCTCCAACCTCTCTCATATCCCAGCTACATCCGGTTCAACGTCATGTCCTCTCAACCCACCAAGTCCAGTTTGTCCTACTCAGACACTCATGGTATGGGACATCCCCTGGATCTTGGTGAATCTACCAGGGGGACCATACCATACCCCTAATTGACTCTCCCTCCCCAAGAAACCATCAGCTTATGTTAGGCGCTGGTCTGCCCCTCCCTACCCATGCTGGAATATTGACTGTCTTGGTCAATTGACTGTTGTAAGCTCCTAGGGCAAAGGGTCTTGTCATGTTCAGAGGACTGTTTCACCCTGTGACACTTGCAGTCTTTTTGTCCTCTGCTCCACAATGTTTTCTGAGCATCAAGGAGAGGGCAGTATGCTTCAAACGTCTATTTTATTCTTGAGCCCTCCACAGACACCTGTTCTCTGTACTATGACTGGTTGTAAGTCTCTGCATTAGCTGCTGTTGTCCATACCAAAAAGCTTCTCTGATGAGGTCCGAGAGATGCACTTATCTATGGATAGAAAGATATATTCAGAAGGCATATTAGTAAAATTATAGTAGGTTCATCCCTAAGGCCAATGGAACTCCCTCATCATAGGCTTTTGGCTGCATTTTTGCACCAGGCATGAGTTTTTTCCTATGGAGCAGGCCTTAAATCCAATCAAAAAGTGGTTGATTACCCTATAACGTTCATGTCACGATTGCACCTCAGAAGTATCTTGCCAGGCTGGTTATCACTAGCTCTCAGCCTTCACAGCTGGTAAAACTTCTGGTACTATGAAAACTAGCCAGCATGTAGTATGCTTCCAGGATAGCACCAGCTTAATCTCTCCAAACCCTATGATCAAAGTGTATTAATGGGAGATGTCCTTCTGTACGCTGTGAATGTGTGTTTCTCTTATTGGCTGATGAATAGAGCTGTTTCGGCCAATGGACAGGAAGGGTATAGCCAGGCAGGAAGTATAGGCAGGGCTACCAGACTAGGAGAATTCTGGAAGAGGAATGTAGAGAGGAACCACCAGAGAGATACCATGTAGCTACTGGGAATGTAGGACGCCCAGGCACTCGCTGGTAAGATAAGGCCATGTGGACATACAAAGATGAATAGAAATGGGTTAATAATTAAGAGAGAGCTAGCCAGTAAGAAGCCTGAGCCATAGGCCAAACAGTTTATAATTAATAGAAGCCTCTGTGTGTTTATTTGGGACCAAAGGGATGTGGGACCAGCGTGGGACCAGGTGGGACAGAAACTTCAGTCTACAGTGTATGATGTGTTCAGCAGTAGGGCCTTACTATCAAGTTCTAATAGGCAGCCTAGAGCAATGGCAACAGGCTGTGCTGTTTTCATGGTCTTTGGTAACTCCTGCCCACCACCAATAGCTTGATGGGGATGGGAGGTAGTCCACACATGGCACTAGGCTTTTTATTTGGAAACCTATGGCTTTTGGGAGGCACGTATCCACCCCCACCCCACCCCCGCCCCGGTGCAGCATAAGTCCGTATTCTGCCTCCACCGTGTGTTCATCTTTTTTTTTTTTTTTTTTTTTTTTTTTTTTCTTGAGACAGGGTTTCTCTGTGATTTTGGAGGATGTCCTGGAACTAGCTCTTGTAGACCAGGCTGGCCTCGAACTCACAGAGATCCACCTGCCTCTGCCTCCTGAGTGCTGGGATTAAAGGTGTGTGCCACCACTGCCCAGCGTGTGAGTCTATTTTAAAGGAAACTTACCAAATAGTAAGTTTCTATAGGGCTTTCCCAGACTTCCTGAGTGTTTATCTGTCTCTCTGCTTTTGGGAAGCTTGTGCCTCCCTCTCTGCTTTTAAATTGGATTAGTTTGTTTTTCTGTAACTATCACTATAGGAAGATTTACTCTTATTTTATTATTCTTTTTCCAGTTGCCAATTTTTTTGTTACACTTGCCTATAAAACCTTAATCAAATGCTTTGGAGCACTCACTTGAATTTCTGTTGTTTTAAAAAATTGGGACCCTGGTTTGGCTTGATAAGGTGACTCCAGTGACTCTGCTTTGTCTTTAACTCATCGAGATCTACTTAGAGTTAATATCTGATGGCTATTAGGGTTTCCCCACCCTCTGTGCTGTTGGGACATGTAGGGAGAGACCCTGGATAACTGTACTGTGACCATGCCCAGTACAGGTATCCAGGGTCTCTCCCTACTGGGACACTATGTTTTTGAGGCACATTTTTGCTTGGATGTGTGTAATAGACTGTGCAGTGCATTGTTGCAACCTGTGCATGAAACTGCCCATTGTCTTTTGAGAAAATTAAGCACGAGGATGCTTCAAACGGACCCATATGTTTTAGCACTTTGGCACTCCGGGATGGCTGTTTCTCTGGTGTCACTTGTCTTCAGTGAGGGGAACTCCCTTTAGGTTCCCTTTCATGCAGCTCTCCTAGCGAAACATTTTTCAGTTTTCATTGATCTCAAAATTGTCTTTTTTCTGCCTTCATCTTCTGATGGCTGCTGTCACTGGGTATAGAGTTGGGAGTTGACCAGGCCTTTTATTTTTTATTTTTTTATTTTTTCCTCTCAGTACTTTCAAGTGTCATTCCAGTGTCTTCTTACCTCCATTATTTTTTGATGAGAATTCAAGTCTCATTCTTATCATTGTTCTACTGTATGTAATGGGTCACTTTTCTCTGGCTGCCTTGAAAATTTTCTCTTTATCGTTGCTTTTCAGCAGTTTGACTGTAATGCTCCTTGATTTACTTTTCTTTGTATTATTCTGTTCCTGAGGACTGAACTCAGGGTCTTATGTATGCTAAGCACACATTCTTCCACTGAGCTATACACTGGCCTGGGAATGAATTTATTTATTTATTTATTTATTTATTTATGTCAGCAACTGTCTCTTTGAGATTTTTCAAATTTACTTGCATGGTATTTTTATTTTATTTTACACAGTATCCATCTTTGAAAATAGTATTTTAAAGGTAGTAAACACAAATAAAAGATCAGAAGTACTTGAAACCAACCTTATATAAAGTGTCTCGTTACAGAGTTGGAGATGCGGCTCCGTGTCTAAAAATACATACTGCTCTTGCAAAGGACTGAGTTGAGTTCCTAGCAGCTGCACTGGGTGGCTCACAGCCACCTGTGCCTCCAGGTCCAGGGAGCTCTGACACCTCTGGGTACTGCATACCTATACACACAACACATGATTAAAAATATCTTAAAATATTTCTTTGTCTCTTAAAATTATGTTCCTGCCCTTCAATAAGATCTCTCAGTATTCTGAAGCTCACCAATTTGGCTAGCCTGGCTGGTCAACAAGTCCCAGGGATTTTCTTGTTTTCACTTCCCCAGCGCTGGGCACAAAAGTACAGGATATCATACTCAACTTTTTTACATTGGTTCTGGGGATCAAACTCAGGTCTTCCTGTTTGTGTGACAAACATTTTACCTACTGAACTATCTCTCCAGTCCTGGAAAACTTATTCTTTTTTTTTTCAAGTGTATTCTTAAGAAATTATTTAAAATTATATCCTAAATAGAGTTTTCTTAACTTTATTTTTGGATTGATCATTACTGATGCGATTGAAGCTAGTGCTTTGTGTGGCTCATGGATAGAATGCTTGCCCAGCACAGGCAAGACCCTGGCTTTGATTCCAAGCACAGAAAAACAAACATTCAAAAAATGTCAAAATATAGCTGATTCTTGTACACTGGCTTTATGCCTTATAAACGTGTTGATTCTAGTGAATTTTCAGTGACCCTTAAGGTTTTCTGCATATATGATCAGGCCAGATGCAAATAGAGATGGTTTCACTTTGTTTCTTTCCAATGGGGATGTTTAAACTCCGCTTTCTTGTCTAATTGCCCCAGCTAGTATCACTAAGACAATACTGAATATGTGTGGTGACAATCCCCACTGTTGCTTGTCATCTTAGAACAGGGAGGGAAGCACCCAGTCTTTCACAACTAAGTGCAAGGTTAGCTGTGGGACCTTTAAAGACCGTTTTGTTTGTTGTGTTGGGTCTCACAATGCCCAGCAGACCATGTGGGTGAACTAATCCTCCAGCCTCTGGCAGTTGGGTTTTATGTTGAAGCTGTTTCTCGGGCTGAGGAAGTTTCCGTCTTTTCATACTTATGTTGAGTGTGTTTATCATAAGGCAACACTGGACTTCGTCAAATGCTTTTTTTCTGTAGCTCTTGAGATGATTGTGTGTTTTTGCCCTTCTATTAATATGATGTATTGCATTAATGGAGTCTCAGATGCCATTTGATTTTTGTCTTTTTTTTGGGGGGGGAGGCCTGTTAATTCAACTTCTCATTTTCTTGTTCTTTAGCATTCAAAGCCCCCTGGAGGAACCCATTAAATGACATCTACAATCAATGTATTCAGGGTTTAGATGTTCATGGTGATTCTTTATGAGAATTTCGATCTCTGGGGCTTTGTATCTCATCAGAAGTCCTGGTGATGGCTATAGGACTTTTCTGTTTGCTATTATTGAATGATGTGAGTGTAAAGCAAATGCTTAGATGCACTTACATAACCCAACAGTGTAAATACATGGAATTATTTTAGTGGTATATGTGATGCAGTTTCATATTGTGGGTATGATTTTTTTCTTGGAGGCAGAGAATTTTAACTATATTATTTATATGCTTTTTAGGGATGGTAAACATATTATGAAGAGTTACGTGTGCAGCTCGTATTTCTGCCGATTGTAATTGCTATCGATGTATTTTGTCTTTGAAAATTTGCGTACCTTCAAATTTCCTCCTTCACCATAACAAGATTTGTTTTGTAGTGTGCGTTTCCATCATGTTCCTATTTTGTAATGCACATTCACATTAATTGCAATTTCCCTCTCTTGGATGCATTTTTCTTTTCCGTGTGGGCTCCTTCACTTGGCTGCATTGTCATTTTCATTGATGATGTATCTGCTAATTAATGTTTCTGCTCTGAATGCCTGCCCTTTTTTGTTCTTGATTTTGCAGTTCAGCTCTATTTTTTATTTCAGCTGCAATTACTGGGACTTCTCTTCTAGTCTTATTGGTCTGTGACCTTCTGTGACTTTTATTTATAATATTTACGTGTTTATGAAACTGACAATCCAGCCTCTGCCATCAGTGACCATCACATAAGTAAGCATTGCTTTAAAAAATGGTTTCAAAAACAGTTATCTCTTGTGGTTAATGTATGCAGCCACTTTTTAAACCACAGCAAGGTCTTGGATTGCTAGAACTTGTCACTTACAGGGAATGCATGAAGTCTTAGTTATTCTTTATCATGACGAGCTACATCTAATAGAAATTTAGCATCTTGGCTGTTATTAAGTATATGCCACTTTTAGTCCATTTGTGTTTGGGTTGTTCAACCATCGAGGTTTACCCAAGAAACAGCATTTGCTTCCTGATCTTTCAGAGTTTGGTTTCTCTTTCCTCACCCATCTTCTTTTGGTCACCTTTTCTTCTCATTTAGATGCTCAAGACTTCCTGGCAGAGGGTTTGCGGAATGAGAACCTCAGCGCTGGTGCTCAGGACCAGAGAGACCACATTCTCCGGGGCTTCCAGCAAATCAAATCCAGGTGGGTATCATCCAGTCTCGTTATGCCTTTTCAGGAAAAATTTCCTCTACTGCAGTATAAGTTAACAGTCAGGCACACCTGCCACAGCTTTTCATACTTGGCAGAAATTTACAAATCGATTTGGAGGTAGGTGAGAATATTGAAATTTACCAACGTGAACACGTTTTGGTGATTGCCTTAAAGTAATCAGGCGGGTTTTGGCTTTGGATTATATAGAACAGGTTTGTGTCTGACAACGGCAGAGACATAATGGTGAAATCAGGACATTTGTGCTTGTTCAAACAACCAATGAGAAAGTGTTATGGAGTAGAAGAGAGTTTTCATGTTTTTGCTTCTGACTTTAATTTCACATTCCCTTCTGCCATAGACAAGTTGTAATCGGGCCTGGGGAGTCAATTCTTTGATCTTACTGGTAGATGTTAGTCCCAGACTGGGTGGGATCATTGTGCTCATTAAGTTTTTAAAACAAGGAGCTCTGATCTCATTGTTGCACATCTTAGAATGTGAGCAGCTAATAGATGCTGGGAACGTACACTTCCTTAGGGGAAGAAGAAATCAAAATTTCCTTTACAATCCATTTCCTGACTGACTTGTCTTGGAAGGTGGCAACTGAACAAGCTTCAGCAGGATGAGTGCTCCTCAGTCCCTGCCCAGGAGACTTTGTGGTTCCCAACCTTGGAGCAGAGCACTTTAAGTGTGCAGGGTTGGGATCTAATTTGCATGACTAATCGTTCTTAGGGTCTACTTTCAAAGCCGGTGGAAACTTCTTAGACTCTTAGAATTCCATCCTTTGGAAGGGCACAGCCAGAATCTATTCCCTGCAGGAGTGTGAGAGACCCTCACGAGGGGCCCTGCTGGATGTTAATCGACCTCTCCTGCTGGCTAATTAAGCATCACTTTTACTCAGCAACTGGGGACTGTGTAATTAGCAGCCTGGGTTGCCCTGAATCATTGAAACAAGCAGAACGTTGAAGATGGGTACTTTTCTGTTTTAGTAAAAAGTGGGAATATCTGATTTTTGGTAGGCTGTGAAGTGTTGAAATTAAACTCTTGCATAGCATGACTTCATTAGTAGATAAGTTTAGTTATGCACATGGAGGGTTAGTTAATGATCCATAGATTTTCTTTATTTTCATGAGTTCACCTTTGTATTATCATAAGGGTTGTATAAAGAATAAAAGTGGAATTTTAAATTCTTTTGCCGCGAGAGAGAAGCCCTGACTATAATAGGGAATATAGCTGTTTTGTTGATGTAAAATATGTGATATGGAATGCAAATATAATTTTGTTGATTTGTATAGACACGATATATTTTCATTTTTATATCACAACATTAGGACAGATCTAAGTTTTAATATTCAATGGGCAGTGAAAAGACAATTTGCGGTCACTCTGTCAATTTCATATTACTTCCTTTCAAAAGAAAATATTTTTTGTGTGTGCAGATTTTGCTTTCATGAATGTCTGTGTACCATATGCTTGCCTGGTGCTCACTTTGGTCAGAAGAAGGCATTGGGTTCCATGGAACTGGGGTTACAGACGGCTGTGAGACAGAGAGAGAGAGAGAGAGAGAGAGAGAGAGAGAGAGAGAGAGAGAGCCTCACTCCACATCATCACATGGAATAAAGAAGGCTTCCAAAGAACATTCCATTCCATATGGTTTGTGGGTTAGACACTTGACAATAATCAGCAGGCGCTTTAGGAAACATCTGTAAGTTGACGAGGGCTTTTCTGTTCATTGATTTGTTGCTAGAAAGATGACACTTTATTTAGAATTTCGTAATTATCAGATCACTGGGGAAATGAGAACCCAGAGATTAGATACCGAACGAGAAAATGCAGAAAGGAAGTTTCCCCTAACCAGCTCTTGGAGCTCGCCTTCCCCCCACCTCTTCAATCACAGTGTTGCTAATGGAATCCTTGTTTTCCTGAATCTTCTTCGGCCATGTCACTTCTATTGTCCCATTTGTGGCTGACCAGTATCAGAGTATATGTGTTGATACCAATTGGTTTTGAAATACTGAAAATTTGCAAAAATGCCAGCCACATTTACAAATATGACATGGCAATTGTATCTACCCCCTCCCCCCAAAAGTGAGATGTGACAAGAAATGTCAAAAATCGTCAAATCTGAGAGTTAATTATACATGAGATATAATCTTCTGGAGCAACAGAAGAATTACTGGAGGTTATTTTCAAATGTTTCATCTTTAGCCACATTAAAGCAATAATGTTTTAGGGGTTTGGTAAATTGGTGTGTGTGTGTGTGTGTGTGTGTGTGTGTGTGTGTGTGTGTATGTGTGTATGTTGTAGTTTATATGTATTCACATGTATTCCCATTCTATTGTTTTATAGCTTAGGTTCTTTTAACTCTTCAATATGGCACTGCAGGTAACTAAAAGGGGGAAGGGAAGGAAAAAATGGTCCCTCCTCTGAGTCTTGGTAAACTCTAGGGCCTTGGCTCTGGTTTTTAATGGCTAGCTCAGAATTCAGTGGTATTTGTGATGGTTGTGGAGTTGCTTGAATTGGAGTGTCTAACTCTGTCACTCCTTGTGGGATGTGCTATTCTCTACCTTTCTGCGGTCCAGGACGACTGACCACAGAAAATGGAAATTGTGTTGAATCAGCAGTGTCCCCGGACATGCTCATCAGGACGTCAGTATCAACATCACAGCTCTTACAAACAATGGAACAAGGTTTCTGTATCTGCAGCTACGTCATTGTGCTTGAAAGTGTGTCGAGGAAGGATAACATTCTTCACGTATGATAAAACAAGTATGGACGGAAGTTTCCGCGATTGCGGGGAGCGCAGTCCTGCTGCGGTATTCGATGTCCTGAGCTAATGCCTTTCGTTGCTGTCCCTCAAACTGCCTCCTCTCCTCTTAAAGACTAACAGCTTCCACATTCCAAGTCCAGGCTCTTATTGAGCTTTTTGCAGCATGCTTGGGGGAAAGTCGGCAAAGGCCCCTCCCTGCTTTATAGTTGTGGTCACTGCAGGATTAGCCCCAGATGTGAGACACCTGGGATGAAACAGACATGATCTACATTCAGAAAGGTGATGACGTATCTCCTCATTGGAGAAACAGTAGGGCTTTTCTTCTATGTTTGATCCAGCGGAGGCCATCTGCCAGCAATAATACTTGCAGAGTGAAGGAAGGGATGAAGAAGCAGATTTTTATCACTGAGATACCATGAATTCTCTCTTGAGGGCCGTTTTGGGGACTCCTCACTCACACACTCACTGTTGGAAGTGAAGGCCAGAGCCAATGGAAACAAACACGGTGTATTGTTTCCTTCTGTGGAACTTAATAATACCAAGGAGTTCCAACAGGAGACAAGTGGATTTATAAGATGTTTAAATGGATAAAGAAATAACATTGTGTAACAGGTTTATGGCCCAAACTCCACAAAACCCAGGACATTTAAAACATAGACAGAAAACATATCTGTAACAGGTTTCACTGTGGGTGGCTAGCCCTTTGCCCTGCATGAAATAGGATATACTATTCTCAAGAAAATTTCATTAAAAGTTCTGATTTTTCTTTGGGAATTTTATGTTTTATTTTATTTTATTTTTTGCTTAACATGAGTTTAGTTTGAAAATCAGATTAAACCTGACAATACCTATGGTTCTGATATCTTTGTTATCTTAAAAAGAAACACGAGTTAGTCTGGTAAAGCTCTGGAGAACAAGCAGGGTTCTAAAGTAGTACACTACAAATTTCATTGCCATTAAGTGCATAGTTTTCATTTACTTGTGTTGATTGTTGAGCTTATAAACTCCCCAAGCAAAGCACATTCAACTGAAGGGTTTTGTTTTGTTTTAATCAAGAAAACTAATGTCTAATGTGCTATTTGGACATTTGCATATTCACTAGTTTAAAGATTTGCTTGTATCTCTCTGCCCTTAATCTCTCTCTGTCTCTGTGTCTCTGTCTCTCTCTGTGTCTCTGTCGTGAGTATGTGGTGTGTGTGTGTGTGTGTGTGTGTGTGTGTGTGTGTGTGTGTGTGTGTGTGTGTTGCCTGCATGTATATCTGTAGACTACTTTGGTGCAGAGATCAGAAGAGGGCATCATATCCCCTGGAACTGGAGATACAGAGGGCTGTGAGCTGTCATGTGGGTGCTGGGAATTGAACCTGAGACCTCTGGAAGAGCAGCCAGTGTTCTTAATCACTGAGCCATCTCTTGCAGTCCCTAATTCAGCTATTTATTCTGGAGTTTGAGTGCCAGTGAAGAAAAACACAGGCATAAGATGCTTGTATGATCTGTCTAAGTTTAAATAGCTCTGAAAGGCTGAAAAATCATAGAAATAATTCGAAGACATCTTGAACAATGCCTCTGTTTGTCAGCTGGATGCAATGGCTACTCCTGTAATTCCAGCACTCTGAGGTCAAGGCATGGTATTGCCATGAGTTTGAGGCCAGTTTGGGATATAAATAATAAAAAATTTATAGAGTCTCACTCTATAAATAAATAAATAAATAAATAAATAAATAAACAAATAAAATCCCAAACCAAAACAAACACACACGCCATTGGAAACAAGGAAGAGAATATCTTCCTTTTCCATCCCTTTTCTTCTCTTCTACTTAGAAGAGAGGGAGGGAGCAATGAGCTGCTGAGATGGCTTAGTGGGTGAAGGTGCTTTGCCCCAAGCCTGGCAGCCTGAGTTCCATCCCTGGGAACTATGTAGTGGAAGGAAAGGACTGACTCAAATGCTGTCCTGTGGCCTCCATGTGGCACAAGACAAATGCTCACACAAAGCAAATATATAAATAAATAGTTAATTGTAAGACAATTTGTAAGAAAGGAAGGAAGGTGACAGGGGGCTGGGAATGTAGCTGAAAGCTATTGGCCTAGCTTTCATGAGGCCCTGGATTCTGTCACCGACACCATAGATATACAAACAAAAGGAAAAACCTACAGCAACTTCAGGCTTGCTCTGAACTGATGGGTTAGTTACTTGTCAAGTGCCTGTATTAGCTGTTTGTCGCTGAGT